CACTCCTCCTCTCTTGAGGCCAATTGGCTGGGTCGCATGGGCGGAGCCAAAAGAGTCCCCCAATGAGCAGCTCCATGGTCTGAAAGGGCGGGGAAACAGCCCAATGAGCATCACTGCAGAGGAGCCAATCAGCTGGCAGCTGGAAATTTGCTGGGGCTGCTGTGAGCCAATCAGCTGGAAGTTTGCTGGGGCCCCTTTGGCTATGGCTCTCAACAGTTTAGAGTGGCCTTCTTAAAAGTATCTGTATTCCTCTTTGGTGGCTGTTACCAGCCAATGCTTACAGGGAACTCTCAATCTGGATCGGGTTCAATGTGTGTCCTAGTGGCTGGAAATGCATACCCTGAATTTTTCTGTCTCTATCTAGAGTCTGGGACTGGCTGGGCCAGAGCTGGCAGTTATCTTGATGGTGTGTATAGCACACCACTGGGACACACAGTGGCCCAAGTCCATCTTTCTACTTTCTGGGGGTATTAGCCAACCCCTGTCAAGCATGTGGGGCTGACCAGATACCTAGAAGACCATTTTGCCTCAATGGGGGTGCAAGACCATCTTGTACATATAGGAGTCACCCTGGACCTACTAGCTAGACTCAACCTCCGAGGGAGTGATCTGGCAAGTGGTTATACTATGGTCCTTGTTTTATGGAATTGTATGGAATTGTGTCACTAGAATGGTGTGACTCATACAAGAGACATGATGAATTTAGGGTTGTGTCATGCATATTCCAACTGCCTCTGTTCTGCCACATCCAAAGGCAGCTGGAGTGATGGCAAAATTACTTTGTACTGTGTATGCCCTCATCACTGGCTATTGGATGGTTGCTGTATTTCTGTTGCAGGTAGTATGACAAATATCTGATAGCCCCTTGATTGCCTGCACTTATATTCCCTGAATACTTCTAAAATGATTGTTCTGCAATGCAATAAGTCCTCCAATAATTGTCTTTTCTTGATTTTGACCCATATGGTGACATTGCATTCTCCAAGATTGGTTTTAAGTCAGGCAGAATGAAGGACAAAAACTTTGTGCAAATGGGATGGCATTTTTCTCCCTACCCATGTCCTTTTGTGTTACTTTCCTGTTGTAGGTAGTTCATGGAAAGTTTATTTTAAAAAACTTTTTATGGTACTAGGGATCTAACCCAGGGCCTCACACATACTAGGTGAGTGCTCTACCATTAAACTCTAGTTCCATCTCAAGAGTGTCATCAATATTGATAGAAATTCCATTCAAGGTAGGCAGTGAGGTCATTGGAAGATGTGTTTTTCTATTTTTAGAGTATAAAATACCAAATGCTAAATTTAACATCATCAGAAAATGAATTATCTAACACATTTTCCTGTACACTCTGGTTAAGAATTGCATTCACTATCAATGAAACATAAGAATGAGTTATAAAAGAGACGTCAAGGACTAAGGATATAGCTTAGTGATAGAGCACTTGCCAGGCATGCAAGGGGCCCTGGGTTTAGTCGCTAACACTGCAAAAACAATCAAAACCAAAATCAAAAATAAGCACTTGGAAGCTAGTGTTCAAAGATGGCATGATGGATGATGTGCATGGGATGTAACCAGGGTTAAATAAACAGTATTTATAAATTTGAGAGGCAAAATTATTCAAGTCACTTCAGTACAATCAGGTCCCCAAACCATAGCCTTGTGAATAACAATGTTGCTACTTTTCTCTTGTGGCAGGAATATAACATTAGTAAGGAATGGTGTAATCAACAATAAAGGACAGGAAGATGTGCTTCCTAGATGTGAACAGGAAAAGATGGCATGCACGTTGGACAAAAAAACAATTATATAAGTACCCATGTGCCAAAGTATACCCTGAAACTATCACCACAGTCATAACAATGAACATATCGATTCTTCCCAGAAGCTTACTTGTACCCCTTTGTAACTCTTCTTTCTGATCTATTCAGCTGTCACCCTCTTCAGGCAGCAAGTGATCCACTTGATGTCTTCATAGATTAGCTTCAAATTTTTTTTTTAGAATTTTATGTATACAAAATCATATAGTTTCTACAAGTGTTTATATGGATGTAGACTTTAGTTCTCTCAGATAAAACTCAGGATAGCAATGACTGCCTCATGCGGTAGCTTTAGTTATATTCTCCAATTTTTGGTATATCGTGTTTTCGTTCAGTTCATAATGCATCCTACTTTCCCTTTTGACTTATTCTTTGAGCCATGTGTTAGTTAGAATTATGTTAACTTGGTTTCCACATACTTAATGATTTTTCAGATATTTTTCTGGTACTGATTGCTAATTTAATGGCATTATAATCAGATAACAAATTACATATGAGTTAAATCCTCTAAAAATATAAAACTTGTTTTATTGCTCATATTATATCTCAGTAAATATATTGCACCTGCTACTTTTGGATGTATTATTTGTCATAGTTTAGTTCTTGAATGGTCCCCAGACGCCATATGTTAAAGGTTTATCTGTCAGCCTGTGATGCTATTAAGAGGTGATGGAGCCTTTAAGGTGTGGAAACTAGTAGGAGAAAGTTATGTTACTGGGGGCATGTCCTTGAATGAGATATAGGGACTTAAACCTCTTTCTTTCTGCTTCCTGGATACTATGAGGAAGCTATCCATTCCCACCGTAATATACTATGCTGCCACAGGCTCAGAGCAATGTGGCCAAGTAACCATTGACTGAAACTTCTGAAACCTTGAGCCCCAATAAACCTTTCCTCCTTTAAATTGTGTATTATAGGTATTTGTCACAGTGATGAAAAGATAACATACTATTCTATAACTATCAATTAGGTTTAAATTGGCTGATAGTGTTGTTCAGTTTACTATTTTCTTACTGATTTTCTGCAAACTTGTTCTATCAATTCTTGAAGAATGTATTCTAACAAAAAATAGTCTTTTCTTTTTTTTTCCTTGCAGTTCTATCATTGCTGTACTTATTATGAAAGTCTATTATTAGGTAGATAAACCTTTAGGAAAATTATGTCCTCTTGACAAACTAACCTCACTGTGAAATGCTCCTCTTCATCCTTGGGAATTTTCTTTGTTCTGAAATCTTTTTGAGTAGTGTTACATGGTATATCTTCTTCAGTGCATTTCCTGTAGGCATGATACATTTGGCTTTGTTTTTCAAAATTTAGTTCATCCACCTCTGCATTTCATTGAAGTGATCAGGCTATTTGCATTTAATATGATCTGCAATATGGTTGAGTTCAAGTTTACCAATTTGCTGTTTGTTTTTAATTTTTGTCATCTGGCCTTTGTCATACCCCTCTTTTTTCCTGCTATTTTATGAGTTGAATATATTTTATGATATCCTTTTTATCTGTTCTGTCATCTATGTGCTGTGTTATTTCAGTGAACTTTTAAGATATACTATAGACACATACAACCCATCCCATTCTGCCTTCAAGACTCTTATTACACTGTGTTTCCATTTTTTCCCTCCCAGCCATAGGGCTTTTGTTATCATTTCACCTCTATAAATGTTAAAACCTCCCCCACACATTGCTCCTTTCACTTAAAATAATCAGGAATCTTTTAGAGAGATTTAAAGCAAACTTTTAAAGTTGTTTCCCACACATCATTACCATTTCCAGAGTTCTTTGATCCTTTGTGTAGATCCAGATTTCTATCTGGAATTATATTTCTTCCACCTGAAAAATATTCTTTAACATTTGTTGTAGCGTAGTTCTGTCGATAATGGATTCTTTTAGCTTTTGAACGTCCAATGTGTTTTCATTTTGTCTTCATTTTTGAAGGATATTTTCACGGGCTATAGAATGTTAGGTTGACATTTTTGGTTTTGCTTTTCTTTCAGTACTAAAAAAGACGTTATCACTCCATTTTTTTGTTTATGTCTTAGAAATCTATTGTCCCCTTATTTTTGTTTCTGATTATTTATCTTTATTTCTCTGGGTGTTTTCAAGAGTTTTATTTTTATCAATGACTTTTAGAACTAATGGGATATAGTGTAGTTTTACTCATGTTTCTTGTACTTAAAGTTCTTGGAACTTCGTGGATCTGTATGTTTATACTTTTAGCAATTTGGAATGCTTTTTGGTTATTGTTTCTTTAAATATATTTTGTTTACCTCTGTGTCTCTTTTCCTCAGAAATTATCATTATTCACATATTTATTAGCTTTTGTGAAATTATCACACAACTCTGTATTCTATTCATTTTTTCAATATTTTTCCCTTTAGATATAATTTTGAGTATTTTCTATTGATATGTCTTTAAGTCACTAATTCTCCTCTCCTTCTTCTAGTAGCTGATCTGATGTTAAGCCCATTTAGAGGTCTTAAAACTCAGTCACTTTACTGTTTATATATAGAAGTTTTGACTTTTTTGTAATTCTATATTCCTGCTTAATATGATCATGCTTTACTTTGGTGTATTGAATACATGAAGTGTGATTACAATATTCATTCTAGTATCTTTGGCTACTAATTCTATCATCTCTGTCATTCCTCAGTTTTTGTTTTTTAGTTGTTCTTTGCCTCATTTGTAGCCATGTTTTCTTGCTTTTTGGTGTAACTGTTATTTTTTGATTTAACAGTGGATATTGTAAATTTTATCCGGAATCTTGGACATTCTTTGTGTAGCTGCACATTTTCTTAAAATTTGTTTCTGGATCCAATTAAATTACTTGGAAAAAGTTAATACTCTTGGTTCTTGCTTTTTATCTTTGTTAGCAAGGAGCAGAGAGACTAGGATATAGCCTCTGGCTAATTTCCCCACTATTAAGGTAAAATTCTTAGGAGTACTCTATTAATACCCCGTGAATCACAAGGTTAGTTGGCTTTGGTGGTAGAGAACAACCTCTAGTAGTTTACCAAGAAAGGTAATGTATTTGGGACTTATATATCCTAAAACACCTTTTGTTTATACTTATGTTTTTCTTTTCTTTTTTAAAAAGCATTTACAACATAGGATGACCAGTACCAACTCCCAGATAAGCATCAAGAAAGAGATCCACCCCTAACTTTCAAGGCACCAAGTAGGGTGTATTTATGATTTGGGTAAAATTCAGCAAGCCAATACCAGCAAATTCTCTTTGAGAACTCTAGCCCATCAGGACAAATATTGAGTCAGAATGTGATTCTAGTCTCAGGTCCTACCTTTGTATTTAATAAGTTTTTCTGAGTTTGAATTCTACTATGGATTGAAAAATATCTTTCTTCAGGATCTGAAGGAAATGATTCTATTGCTTCTAGTATCTAGTTTTGCTGCTAAGAATTCCAAACTCATTTGCTTCCTGACCCATTGTATATGACTTGCTATTTCTTTCCGGTAACTTTTAGAATATTCTCTTTACTCTCACTTTTCTAAAATTATAGTATGCTGAATCTAGGAATTTATTTAATTTTACCAAATCCCCTGGGTATTTGGTGAGACTTTTCAATCTGAAGCTCATACTGTTTAGTTCTTGGGAATTTTCTTGAATCATTTTGCTGATAGTAATCTTCCATATGTTTTTCTGGAAATAACATCATTCAGAAATTGGACCACTTAATCTAATAATTTTCTTCTTAGGGTGAAAATTCACATTTTACATCTATTTACTTTCTGCTCTACTTTTTGTAATATTTAAAAACTGATCTTCCAAAACTTTTATTAAGTTATTTTCCTATTGTCATGTTTTCAATTTTCGAGAATTCCTTTTCATGTTCAGATTTTCTTCTTCTCTCTCTTCTTTTTAAATTCTGTGCCACCTTTTTTCTTTGATGGATGCAATATCTTCCCCCTTTTAACTAGTTGCTATTTGTTTTGTGTTTTGTTCTGAGTTCCAGGTTAGAAGAGATTGCCCCGTGTCAGATAGTCCTTGGTTGTTTGCTCACTAGCAAAGAGGATCACAAGCACTGAATATCTGGATGCAGCTTCTAGACCAAGAGCTTCATTCTAGATTGATCAGCTTGAATTACTTACCAGGAACCTCCAGTGTTAATAATATTAGTGTTGTGCTCTTGGACTGGTTGGGTTCTCCAGAAAAGTCATTTCTCAACCTCTGCTGGAAAGGGTGGCTGGTGACCAGGGTTCTGGAGAAAGAGGGTGGCCAGTAATTAGTTTGCAGTTCTCCCTAATCCCTATTTTCCATGTGCTGCTCTCTGCCTCATCTATGCATAGTGCTCCCTGTTCACAGATAATCTCTTCTAATCTCCCCAGGTGATGGTGGGGGATACATTTAAAACCTGATGAAACAAGGAAGAAGTAATTTCCCAGTGGCATGTGATTGGAAGAAGGGTATCCATCTACCTACCTACCTACCTACCTACCTACCTACCTACCTTTCTATCTATCCATTCATCCATCTATCTGTAAGAATTTACTATGCACCAGGCATGGGTATACAAATATATTAACTTGCAAAGAGGATAAAAGTGTCAGTGCCCCATTTTTCAGATGCAAGAACTAAAGCAGAATGGTGAAATAGCTTGTCTAGACTCCTTAGCCAGGAACTGGCCAGCTGGCTCGTGCAGCCAGGCAGTTGGGCTCCTTAATGTGTCATCTTGACAATGTTGCTCAGTCAGCTCCAGATCTGACAGATACACATCTTTCAAATGGTCCTCTGTTTCTTCCACTCCCACCATAGCACCCCACTTCCAGAGGTGATACCCCGTGCTGCCAATTCCTAAGGCTTTTGAAGATTCCATATTCTTATTTGGATTGTTTTCTGGCTCTCCCCACGGGTGGTTTAGCACTGCCAAGATAGTTACCACTCACCCATCTGCTTTCTAGCCTCCAGAATTAGAGAGTAGTTGTCTTCCCTCCTCTTCTCCCTGTCCTTTCTGGTTTATTCTTTTGAACAAAATCTCTTTGCTGTGGTTTAGTGGGCTTGCCAGAGAGGGCACATTGGATACATGTGCTTGATCTGCCATTTCCACCTTGAAGTTTTGAGGTGGAAGTTTACGCCACCCTGGAGAGCACACAGACTTAATTTGGTTTGTAGGTTATAGAGAAACGGATGTTTCTTGCACCCCTAAATTTGTGGATAGAACTTATTCTGTTTCATGTGCTCTGATGTGTACACATTCCTATTCATTTGAGAAATTCACATGTTCATCTCTGAAATATGGACCTTTTGGAGATATAGGAAGATTTCTAAGGCAGAAAATGGCATTGTCCCCCTTCTCCTAACACACATGACCGAGCTACCTGATCTTATGGATATTAACTCCTGTGGCTTCAGCCTCCTCACTAGTCATATCCCCAAGAAGTTTTCCCAGGGTGCTGGCACCCTACTACCACTAGCATGCTTGAGATTATGAGTCTATGTTGCTAGCTGAGATATAATACCCACCGTTTTTGAAGGTTTTTCCTCTTGTGGATGTTTCTCATGTGTGACCCCTTTGTTTCCTGGTTTCAGTTATAGATCCTTGACACTCTTGGGCTCCTTTTCACACCACCAGTCCAAAAGGCTGAATGTGTGCTCAATTCCACCTCAGTTATAGCCGTGTTTTGACCCTCCTGATGAGTGGCAATACATTCGATGACAAGCTAGTCAAGTCCTTGCTATCCAAGAGCTGGTAATCCAACAGGGAAGACAAACACAGAGCTCAATACCATAACATGTAACAGGAATTTTGACAGCTGTAAAAATGGGAAGGGACAGGTTTATCCAGACAGAAGAGAGAAGGTTGGCTAAGTCCAGATCAGTACCTGTTTGAAGCCACACTCTGGACTTTGCCTAGTTTTCAAACTTAGTTTTATTAGTTACTGCCTCTGTGTTGGTTAGCACTTTGCCTAACCTTTACCCAATTACCATATCTGAAAATTAAGAGTGATTACACAAGTTAAGCCAACAGATTCATGTAAATCATTTGGCAAGGTGTATGACACACAGGTCAAGTGCTAAAAGATTAGCTTTAATTTCGTATCTGTCTATCCAAACAAATATCTACTTCTCTTTAGGTCTTCCTTTGTTCTGCAAAGAATTTGGTGGAAAGAAAAAGATAGTGAAGGGCTCTCAGGGTTTAATGAGTTCAATTTTGGGAGTGACAAGTTTGCTGTGGCTATGCTATAACCAAGTGAGGATTGAAACAGAGATTACAAAGATTTGGTTTCAGGTGCTCAAAGGAGAGGTCAGACATATATTTTGTGAGTCACAAGCAAAGTCAAAGGAGGAAGTGAGATTAGAATAGGAGGAAGATTGATAATGCAGAAGACTGGGACATTATTACCTTGAAGAATGCCTTCATTACAAAATAGGAAGTGAAAGGGGAGAAAGGGAAGGGTGTCTTAGTCCGCTCACGCTGCCAGCAAAAAATATAGGTGGTTTAAACAACAGGAATTAATTTTCACACAGTTTGGGAGGCTGGAAGTCTAAGATCAAGGTCTGTAGGGTCAGTTTCTGGTGAGGTCTCTTTTCCTAGCTTGGAGATGGCCAGCTTTTCACTGTTGTCCTCATGTGTGTGAATTAGGGGAAAGAGAGAGAGAAAAAGAAGAGGGAGAGGGAGCAAGTTCTCTGGCGTCTCTTGTACAGGCACTTATGCTACTGATCAGGACCCTGCCATATGACTTAATTTACCTTAATTGCTTCTATAAAGACTCTTATCTCCAATTATAATCACTTGCATATATAAATTTGTGAGCAGGGGGAGAACAATCCAATCCATAGCAGAAGAAGACTTAGAAAGACAGAAAAGTGAGGCAAGGGATAACTTAGTTGGTGACAGGGAAACGGACGGAAGAGAAGAGTTCAGGGAACTGCGAAGCCAACAACATCAGAGGATGCCGTGAGTGATAATAACAGGCAGCAGAGTCCCAGTGCATTGTGCAGCTGTCCTAGGCAGGCCTTTGACACAGTTCCTTCACATCTCCTCATGCCGTCCTGTGCTTATACTGTCATCTCCATTTCAGAGTTCAGGAAAATGAAGCTCACAGACATTGTGTAACCTGATGGTGCTCCCCTTGCTGGTGAGTTGACAGTGGGTATTCAAACATGGGTTTCTGATCTTGAAGTTTGTGTCATCTCCACTCTGTTCACAGCTGCCTCTTTCTGGGGGAGGTTGATGTGGGGAGAGGCCGCTAGCTTGGAGGAGGTATTAGCAGGGTAGTAGTGGTATGGAAATGGGAAGAGCAGGCTTTAGGCTGTGGGTTGCATGAGGAGATGTGGGAGTGTGACCTGGTAAATCTAGACTTTGTGAGGAGCGTCCATGCTCTTTGATACATCAGTCGGAGACTCGTGAAAACGATGACGTCAACTTCAAATGGCTCTAGGAAATACAGGATTCTCTGCTCCTTGGTCTGCTACTTATGTGCAGCACTTCATAGCTTATCTGACTCACCTGTCTCTTGTTCTAGCTGGATCTCTGGCCAACAGCACTGCATGGGTTCCAAACATAGGCAGATGCACCTGTGCCTGACACTGCCTGCTGTCACCAAGGGTTCCTACTTTGAGCCCACACAAGTTGATGGATTCCTTCTCCTCCATTCTGCCCCATGACAGGTGATCCTGAGATAGTGTTCACCGGAGCCAGCATTAGCCCTGTCTCCGGTCAGCCAGCTTGACCACACAGACTTGTTTTCCCTTTTTTCTTTCCTTGCTTTCACCCTCATGTCCCTCTGGCATGTTTCATGTACTTTCTAATAAGGTAATAGCACATAAAGCTCCAGCCTCAGGCTCATTTTCTTTTGAAAATGAAGTTTAAACACCCGGACCATAACACCCCTTCCTCTGGAGATTCACAGTGTATATAAGCCTAATATGGTTTCTGAGAATTCTTCCAGCAACTTCTCTGCATAATCCAGAAGGCCCTAAACTTATTAAATTTTGAAGACTTTTTTGTAAAAAAAAAATAATGTTACATTAATTCAATTCCCAGGATTATAATGTTCATAGATTAGGTTTAGCTTATATTGTGCATTTTCAAGAGCAGAAGGTGTCAGCAAATATTTTTCTGTAAAGGGCAGATAGTAAATATTTTAGTCATTACAGGCAATAAAGCCTCTGTCACCACTACTCAACTCTGTCATTAGAGCACAAACTAGGCATAGACGATACATACTCGAATAGACATAACTGTGTTTTAATAAAACTTTATTTACAGGAATAGGATTGAGTTGAATTTGGTTGGGGGCCATAGTCTGCTGACTCCTGCTAAGAGAAATATAA